GTCGATATTGTCTTCATTAACATCCATGCCTGCATCAACACCCACACCCTTCCATATATGCAAAATAAATAAAAAAAAACTTCATCAAACCACAGTTCAGTTATCAGCGGTCATCCTTTCGCAGATCAAACATTCGTCAACTCTTTTCCTGAAAACGCCACTAAGCAGAAACCGACAACCTCCACCGATGCGATCCAAACAGATCAGCCACACTAGTATCATTTCACCACCTCCTTCGAACATTCACACGTTACATGTGTATCTAAACTATGACGCCGACTCAACTAAACATGCTTTCAAACTAATGAGACTTCAATTCACTTCTAAAAAACTTACTAAGAACTCCTAAAACTCCATGAAAACACAAATATCCCAATAAAATCTTCACAACAACACCAAACCCATCCTATGCCTTCTCGCACCACATCATACTACTCGACCAGCTACATTCTATGCTCTTTTCCCCTTCCATCTAAACTTAACATTATGCAATAAATCGAAGTTCCAAAATTGCCAGATGAGTCCCTTAAGCAAGGACGAAACCGGTCGTAAGTTTGCTTGGAATTTCATTCAATTTAAACACACCTTCTATAAGACTATTGCGTTCAATTTAACTTCTTTTCAGCACTAGATCAATGTTGAGAGTCTTCTCGCTCTTATAGTTATCTATATGTTCGAGATTTAAGTTAGTATTATGCTATATTTTCGAAGTTCCAAAATTGCCTGATGAGTCCCTTAAGCAAGGACGAAATCGGTCATAAGTTTGCTTGGAATTTCATTCAATTTAAACACACCTACATCAACCCACACTCACACCCCTCACACCCACACCCACACCCACCCCACACCCACCCACACCCACACCCCTCACACTCACACCCACACCCACCCACATCCACATCCACACCCACACCCAAGCCCTTTTCACATCTCTCTTGATTCTTATCAACATTTTCAATGCGTAGAAACACAAAACCTTTCAATGTAGTTTGTTTCGGTAAGTATTTCAACGAGTTTTTTTGGAAATTATTGCTGCCTCACTAGCTGATATATGTGAGAGAACATTACACACATCAACATCAGTGATGAATCAATATTGACTAACAAATGTTATAATAAAGATAAGAAGTTTGTTCTTATCATTCTTTGAGTCTTTAAATTCAACTGACATATTGTAATAATAAACGGAGTTTAGTTGAGAATTGTCAACAAACTATTCTTACGTAAAATGGGTTCAAGTAAGTTTATTTTACTTAAGCTAAATATTAGCAAAAAGAAGTCGAATTTAAGGTATTTCTCACGATATTAGTGGATTTCGAGAAGATTCGGTTCAATTTCATAACGTTATTGAGGATCTATATGGTAGTATTAGGAAGGAAGATACCAAATCATTTCTTTCTTGGCAAACTTTGTATCGAAAAACAATGGAAATGCTAGTTCCTCTCGCATCGATGACACCACCGCGTCCACTAGCTCTTCGATCTATTGCTGTTATTGGACCTACGTGTTCAGGAAAAAGCTCAATAATAAATGCACTATGTGGACGTGAGGTTGCTCCAGTAGGAATTGATAAAACAACAAAATATATTAAGTCATATAAGGAGAAGCATTTTTGTATTTACGATACGCCAGGATTTGGTGATTTGGATACAAATTTCACAAAAGAAAATATTAGCTTGTGGAAAGGGCTCACTGTACGAATAGTGCTAATCACGACATCAATCACTGAAGTAATTCAAATATTTCATCTATTCGATGCTATTGGCTTAAACTATGATATTGTCGTCAATAAATTTGATCTTGTAGAGCCGAATGCACGAGAAACTTTCAAAGTTTACATAAAAAATGAAATACTCACATATGACTTAAAACGCGTTAAAAATGTATGGTACGTCAGTGCTTTAAAACCAACGCAATTTCCTGATTGGCAAAAAATGATTTTTTATCTACATGGCGGTAAGATACTATAATCATAAGAAAAAAAAATTAACTTGTGTGAACCTGCATAAAATGAAACAGTAAAACACGTGTAAAATTCTAATGTCTGAGTTTGTTTCCATGTTAAAGTTTTCTTTAGTACAAATTCATCATCAATCCTTTCATTTTTTTTGATAGATGTACCATGTCAAAATGTCGGTGAAACAAATTCTCCAGTACTGGATAAAATTTCCGAAGATGATAATGCCAAAACGCCGTTTTTGATTTTTCTGTTTGACAATAGTTTATGTCAAGAAGAGAAAAAATATTTATTGAACGCTTTTGTTTCTGAACAATTTTGCCTTTTCAATACTGAAGACTGTCCCTCGTTTCCATCATTTGCCCAACAATTTTCATATTTCGTTATCTGCATCTCCTCGCAACTTGTAACATTACCTAAACATGTAACTAACAAGATTTATTATTTAACTTCTGGAGATTACAAAGAAGATCCTTTACAATCTGTTACCTACGTCATAAATATAAATCATCTAGTACGAAAATTGCACCATGATCTTGGAATCTTTTATCGAGAAGAAGCAATTCGGATGCGTGAGAAATTTGGTAGTCATGCATCGATTAAAACTCTTTTGTGTAAATCGAACAAATGCTACAAGATGTTTATAGAAGAGACTCAACGAGGATTCACATCACAGAATCCACCAAATGCAAACCACGATAAATCGGTTAGCACGAACGAACACTAATTGTTGATCGTAAGATTGTTTTTTGTTTTTCATATTTTCATATTAAATTGTTTCAATAACTTAAATACTTTCTGCTGCTCATAATACGTTTTGCTTCTTTTTTCTATCGTACTCGAACTTTTATGTCTTAATTCATGAATGAATAAATGACCATCTCAAGAAAAACATGGATGGTACCAGTGATCAAATAGCACGATCAATTTGTATTGATACTGTTATGTGAAAAATATTTTTTCTTTTTTTGTGTATTGTAGATTGGTATCTCTTGTCAAGATAAGAGAAACAACATTTTGAATCAGGTTCCGAGGTATATATGGTAGGTTTTCATTATTGACTCTTTCTCAGTATACTTATTTATTTGTAAGGAGGACGTAAAGTTTGGTTCAGCACTCCCATCAGATCTTTTAGATGACGAATATCTTATACGTATTATCGATCCTTCTCAACTTATTACATCTCCAATAGATCAAGTGGGTCCTTATCATACAGTTGCTAAAATTTATCCTGACGTAGAAATGTGGTTTGAAGAAATGACAAATACAAGAAATCGAAAGTTTGCGGCTATCGTATTATTACCTAATCGAACACCAAGTCAAGTAGAAGAGTTTATTCGAACAAACATACATAACCACCGTGGTGTAGATGTTTGCTTTGTAATATCTGATGATGGTAATTTGTACGACACTCAATGGTGTACAACGTTCTCGCCTGAAATGAGATGGTCTCGTTCTATTGATGATCGTTGGTGCGACAATGTTCAAGCTGCTTGTTGCACTGCCAGTGATTTATATATTAATCACTATCAAAAGCAAGAAATGCGGAGTAGGGATGAAAATAACGAGGCAAATACTAGATGGTTTCGTTTGCAACAATGTAATAGAGCTGTAATACAGACACAATACAATCAACTACTTAGCAATTCATCTGAGTATGATAATCAATAATATAAACATAGATATATTTCTTAGAACATGTTTTTTTTGTATTTCAAAGCGCATTGCTGTTTATTGATAGATTTTAATTTTCGTTTTTGAGAATACACTTAGGGTATACCAAAAGTTAGTATCTCAGCATTACTTAACCATAGAGTAAGCTTTAAGAAACTTTCTTTCTGCACAGTCAGATAGAGAAAACAATGCTCTATTTTTCTATGCTATTTGATTATACTTCAACTAATATCGTGATAATAAATTTTCGATAAGACTTTTTTCGTTATCATTTGTGCTCGTAACGGGTGATCGGAAATTATTTGAACAAAATATTGGTACACTTTTGACCCGCTAGAAAGTACTTTCCACAAATCAAAGGGTATACATTAGAACCAGAATTTTGTGCTCTTTTCGAATATGGGGTCAGAAATTTTCCCACAGTTTTAATCTGAGAGTAATGAAATAATCTTTAAAGAGCCCGAAAACTTAGTTTGGGC